GGGGATTTGTGCTGACAACTCAGAGCCTGGAGCTACTTCAGATTTTGTGTCTCCTCCTCTCTCTGCCCCTCCCCTGCTCACAGTCTGTCTGTCTCTCTCTCTCAAAAATAAATAAACATTTAAAAAATTAAAAAAAAAAAAAAGAACATATCTGTGTGAGCTTAGCATGCTGTATGTCAGTAGAGAACCATTCTGAACACATTCCTAGAGAATGGACCCATAGGTTTCTGTCCCCAAAGCAAAAGTCTTAGGCAGGCAAAACACCTGCCCCAAAGGATTTCTTTTCAGAGGTGTTTTCTTGGGAGAAGTATAAAGTCAAGTACCACATGTAGTGATATGTGTTACTTACAGTGGCAGGGAAGAGGATATGAGAACTCTTAGATCTGGTTACAGGTTATCAATTATGTGCAAAGGACTGATCTAATAGACTTTTTCATGTTCTACAAAGCCAGATTATGCTAATTCTAACCAACATTTCTCTAGAAAGTTGATAAGGCAAATAATTGAGAAAACCTGTACACAAAGGTCAACTTTTAATAGTGTATATTGTTTATATTGCTGCAAACAGCTTTAAAAAGAATTCTAGAATCCTTTTGAGAAAGCTCAAGACTGTTTTCATTTTGTCACCAATGTTAGATCCCATGGCTTCTCCTCAAGAGTGAATTTTCCACCCATCTCCTTCTGCATGTATATGGACAATGCACAGGGTTTGTCCAAGGCCAGACACTTCATTGGTTAAAGATCCCATATCTTTTTAAAGTATGCATTTCTCCATTGATTCAGATATTGAATCAATCTAGGCCTAAGGTAAAGCTTAGAAAATAAATCAGGCAAATCTCCTGAATGTTTATTAAGGGTGATTATAATTCTTGAGCCAGAAAGCTAGTTATCTGGGAAATAATAATGGACAGAATACCATTCTTTAGTTCTTTTCTGAAAAACAAAGTTTAAAAAAATAATCATAGCACTAGTGCTTTAAACAGAATATAACACTGTTCAGAATTCCTCCCTCTGCAATCTCCTTTTTAAGACTTTGCCTGCCACCACTTACTCAGGTTCTGTCTTTTATGAGAGCAAAGACTATCAACTCTTCATATCTTCACAGATTCCATGTAAACATACAAAATTGAGGGGAAAAAAAACATACTCAAAAGTCAGGCAATTCACTGGGGGCAATTAGGGCAATTAATTGTATGAATCTGTAATTACACTACAAACCTAATGAAGCCAGACCTCAAACCTTTTGTAGGTTTCCCAGAACCTAGTGCAGTCCATGTACTCAAAATGCATCCACCAATGCTAATTGATGAATATTCTAATAGATCATAAACATTAACATAAATGGTTATTATTAGGAATTTAATTAATTAATTAATTAATTAATTAATTAATTAATTCATATGCACTTTAAATAAGTTGTCCTTAATCCTGTCTAATACAGATTTCCCCAAGAGGTTTAACTATTATGGAACTCTTTAAAAAATGTTTATTTTTTATTTTTGAGAGAGAGAGAGAGAGATATGGAGAGTGCACAAGCCAGGGAGGGGCAGAGAGAGAGAGAGGGAAACAGAGAATCCAAAGCAGGTTCTATGCTTTCAGTGCAGAGCCTGATGCAGGGCTCAAACCCCCAAACTGTGAGATCATGACATGAGCTGAAGTCCAAGACTTAACTGACTGAGCCACCCAGGCCCCCCTATTATGGAACTTTTAATATCCACTTTATAGTGTAAATTCTTTAAATATATTTAATGTTTATTAACTCTGAAACTCTTGAGGAAGACCACAGAATTTCTCTTGTTGTGTACAAAATGATATCATACTTAAATAGTCTTAGTTCAAGCAGGTTCACATTCAAAGCCAGTCTAAGTGCAAAAAAGAACCATGATTTGAAAGGCAAAACAAAAGCCTGATAAAATGCATTATTAAAGCTTATAAGCACAAGCTTGGATTTCTTGCGGGATTCTATCTTGTGAATAATTTACATTATGGTTAAATTCTTAAAACTGATGAAAACTATTTGGATAACACTGATAATGAAGTTCATTTCTTTTCATCTTTTACTTAAAAAAGGAAAGTAATAAATTACATTTTCTATATAAACTTAGTCCTGCAGCATGAGCTTGACTTTGTATCAGAATAGTCAATGACTATATCAAAGGTTTTATTATATCAACATTTATTTTTAGCCTGGGTAGATGAGTTAAATAGAATTATGATTATCTCCTGAATTAAGGCATGCCTTCTATAATAGTTATAGATCATACTAGGTCTGTGGGAGATCTTTAAAATTTATACCCTGGGGCATCTGGATGGCTCATCGGTTAAGCGTCTGACTCTTGATTTTATCTCAGGTCATAATCTCATGGTTCATGAGATCAAGCCCATGTCATGCTCTGACAGTGTGGATGCTTGGGATTCTCTCTCTCCCCCTCTCTCTGCCCTTTCCCCATTCACGTTCTCTCTCTTTCAGAATAAATAAACATTTAAAACGAATGCCCATTACCAAGAAAATTAAAAAAAAAAAATTCCCAAGACATAAACACAACTGCAATTTTTAAATTAATAATGCTTCTAATTTATAGATTCAACATGTAATCTATAATGAGATTTTTGGAACTAGAGTGATTTATTTAGAATAAAATTTGAGTCTAATAGCAACAAAGCCAGCATCCATAAAGAAAACTATGTGATACCCTATATAAAATGTAAAATAAAAACAAAAAACAGAAACAACAAAATATATACACAAAGAAACTACACAGCACAGTTACTCTTCTTCCTATATAAAGAGTTCCTGCAAATAAACAAAATAAAGATGAATATTTTAATAAATATATGAAGGTCGGGGCGCCTGGGTGGCTCAGTCGGTTAAGCATCCGACTTCAGCTCAGGTCACGATCTTGCGGTCCGTGAGTTCGAGCCCCGCGTCGGGCTCTGGGCTATGGCTCAGAGCCTGAGCCTGCTTCCGATTCTGTGTCTCCCTCTCTCTCTGCCCCTCCCCCATTCATGCTCTGTCTCTCTCTGTCTCAAAAATAAATAAAAACATTAAAAAAATTAAAAAAAATAAATATATGAAGGTCAAAAAGATTGATAGGTAACTCACAAAATGCAAAATGCAAATGTCCAGTAAAACTATAAAAAGAAACAAATTTAATAAGGATGCAAATTAAAACAAAGGGACTCCATTTTATAAAGTTCTTAGGCAAATATTGGGGCATGGAGAGAAATGTATTCTTTCAGAGACAGGCAATTCTTGCACTGCTGGTGTGGGTACGAGCATTTTTTTGTGATAATTTTCCTTAGGATATAAGCAAATAACTGACAAAGATACAGAAGAATAATCATCAAAGTGTTTTTGGTGTTGGTGTGTGTGTGTGTGTGTGTGTGTGTGTGTGTGTGTGTGTGTCTGTGTGTCTATGGGTGTTTAAATAGAACATGGAAACAAGATAATGCTCAACAATATAGAACTGGAGAACATACACATATACACAGGAACACACAAAAGAAGAAGCTATGAATGTCAGTGTGTATGTATATATGTATGACCCTACATATATTTTTTGGCTAATTTCTCAGAAATCCTAATTTATATGCATTTGGCTTAGATATCAATATGAAGCATCATGTGTCTAAATACTGTGCATTAATTTGATATAAAATCTGATCTCATATATTTGCAATTATAAGTTTACCTATAATCATTATAAATTCTATGACTGCATTTGCCTTATGATCAGCAGTATATATTACAATATAATTTCTATATAACCATCATGTGTTGCTATACTTTGATGTTACAAATGTAAAAGTTCTTTGTTTCACCAAAAAACTTCCACATGAAATGACTACATTAAATTGCTACCATTTTAAAGACAAGCTGATGTTTCAGTTAGAATAATGCTATCTCTAAAACCAAAGAATTAAAGTCCTTTGCTTATTCTTAGTTTAATATTTACAGTTTGATCAAAGAACAAACAACTCCATTGTCTCACTCTCACATACATCATTACCCTATCTGAAGATGAAAGCACTTTCTGAATAAACTTTAAAGCCAAAAAGTAAAATGGATAGAATAATATTATGATGCAGGTTAGCAGATGCACTAGGCATACCATATCTTTTCATTTCTACTGAATAACTTTTAAAAAGTCTATGATTTTTCCTAGGCTTTTTACAAGGTAAAAAGATTTATTCCAGAGGCAAAAATCCAAAGACTGGTAAACAATTTTTGCTGTTGTTACAGGAAAAAGCAATTGGAATTCAAATGGTAAAGCACTTTCTCCAAATTACATGATTCAAATGAAACTGACTAAAAACAATCTGGGGTAGATGATAAAAGAGGTGTTTGAGTATGTACCCTATATAACAATTATTAATTTGCAATGGTATGAGGTAACCCTACCTTTCTGAATAATATGTAACATCCGTGCCTCTTAAATTTCTTTAAAGATTCTTTCTATGAAAATTTTCTTTAGATGCATTTGATTTTAATGGTTCACTTTCAACATCACATCTACAGTATTTCCATATTAACAAAACAATCTTACCAAGACATTTGAATTTAATGTCAGGGACCCTGTCATCTCAAGTGATATCTGACTTTTCCACTCCAGTGCATATTGTTTATACAATTTCTCTCATTCATCCCTTCATTTACTTTCCCCAGATAAAATATTTGGGAATCTCCCCTTTTATATTTAACTCTTTTGCTGCTTAAGACATTTGTTTATTAATAATTTTCCATAGGTTTCAGTTGTATCATTGGAATAATTGGACTAAAGAGTGATGCATCTGGATTTTAGTCAATGAGCAAGTATTCAAACACTGCATTTAATCCCTATGCAATTAATCAAAGTAGAGAAAGGACATGTGTGAAACACTGGGACTTCATAATTTCATACTAATAAGCACAAGAGGTAATTCAGGAATAAGCATTTAAAGTGTCACAGTGATGCATTTTGAAAAGGGCAGTGTAAATGAATCTTGAGCCATTGACTTACCCAAGACTGTGAGCTCTGCAGAGGCACTAATATTCTCATTTTTATATGTAACAACACAGGTGTAAGTTCCACTATCATCATCTGTCACATTGGAGATAAGCAGATTGCTTCCACCCAGTAAAGAATACTTTTTGGACCTGAAAGACATAGGCATATAAAATTAGAGAGCAGATTAATGTAGGGATATTTAGGTGTATACCAGGCAATGTACTCAGAGGTTTAAATAAACTCCACAAAAGATCAAATTATCAAATTAGAAAGAGAGTCTATTTTATGAGGCTTTGATAACATCACATTTATTGATCAAAAATCGATTCAAGGTAAACCAATCCCACTGGAAGGCAGTGATCAAAGAAATTAAACAGATTAAACTTGGAACCAAGCTTAATACTGAAAAGAAATTTACAGATAATCTGGCCCAATTCTCTTATTTTGGATTTGAGGACCACAAGTACCAGAAAAGTGATTCCTCACAGTGGAAGGCAATGTCTTGTGTCCTGACATCCAATTTAGTAATCTTTGTACAAAGCCACATTTCATTGTGTACCAGGAATATCTGGCTACATTCAGAGAACACATTTGACATGCTAAAGCTACAAACAGATTTCTCACATGCTTTCATATTCTCAGAAGTATAGTGACACCACACCATATAGTGTTGTTATAATATAGGTGGGAGGTGAAAGTTATTGTCTATGATCCTCTCTCATCATAGAAAACAGAAGTGTTAAAAAGGAGTACACCATACCTCCAAATCAATAAAATTAATTTCTTAAGTGAAATCCATTTAATCAAAACGTTTCAGACTAAGCGCTCCATTCTATTAAGAGTTTACTTTCTAACTACGCTTTAATATGAACGTCTACTAATTCAAAGCCAGCCATGTTCTCCTTTTGTTTTATCTTAAATATTTGTTACATCTGGAATATGAAAGGTATAACTGGACCTGAAAAAAATTTCACAGACCCTCTAATGACATGCTATATATTTCAAATCAGAAAATTTTAATTTCTTAATAAATATTTCACTATACCACTTCCTTAGGATGAGATTCTCCAAGGTATCTTTGCTGAATATTTTTTGGACAGTGTTATTTTAACAGCAACACTGGCTTTCTGAACTTCTTTTCTGAATTGATCTCATGGATTTTGACTCTGTCCTCCATCTCTTTATCCCAGTGGATAAAAATCTTCCGTATATTGTATAATGTCAAGGAATGTGGGAGGAAATCAATTATCATTAAAAACCCTAGTATTTCTAGGTACCTTTAGCAAATGAGAAAGATAAACAGTGACATATACTTCACAGAAGTCTTCAATGTGTAATACCTGAGTTGGACGACTTCCTCTCCTCGTAACCAGGTAAAACTCGGGGGAGGATAGCCAGAAACACAGCACTCCAGGATGGCATCTTTTCCTTCAATGGCTACTACATTGGATGGTCTTTGCAAAAAATACAGCTGCCTATGTAGTCCTGGATCTGTGGAAAGAAAACACAGGATCACATCTTTTTATGAAAAGCACTGTAAAGATAAATGATGTAGCTTGAACCAATTTTTTCCTAATAAACACTCTGATAGGGAGGAAGAAAAGAAAACAATGAAAAGATGCGAATGAAACTTATAAACTAGAATCTTAAAAGGCTTTTCCATCCCCAGTTTCTAGGATCATGCTAGTAGAATATTCTTAGCAGTTGATGACATCACAGTATAAGGCAAAAGGCAAAAGCTTGAGGTTACTAGTCACTCGTGTGGGCTGCAGAATTTCTCAGTTTCTCATTAGAGAACAAGACTATATTACCAGTAACTTTTCTAAATGTGATCACTTGAAACTTTCTGATATGTTCAGTTTGTCTGCCACTAATATCTATTCCACTTCTTCTGCTTTGTCCATTGCTTCCGTGGCTGTCAGGACGATGTTAAATAACACACAAGCATTAAGAAGATAGAATGTAGAAGGTACTAAAAAAAATCTGCTGTTTTCAAAACAGAGCTTACATTAAATTTTGTTTTGTATAGCAATAAGTTTGGCTGTTTCTAAGCCTTCTGCTTATTTTTAATTTCTAACAACATCCCAAAGCATTTGTCCCTAGAGCTGAGACTCTGCATAAAGAGTTCTTTATCCTTCTACCTAGCCCAAAGCATTTTCTAGCTCTATATATCCAACGTTATGCATTTGTTCTAGCAGGTAACTAAAAAAAGTATCTATTCAACCTAAAAACTCATTCCATTCACCTTAGAACTCATTTGTTCCAAAGTTGCTAAAATTATGTCAGATGGAATAAGAAAAAAAATTACAAAATCCTAAGCACAAGGCTCAACACAGTTAAGAGAAAACTCTGAGAGTTAACAGCTTCTCTTCCATCTCCCCACATAGTCCACTCCTAATCCCCGGGACACACCAACAGCAATCTATGGTTAGGTGAGCTTAGAGGAAATCCTCCTTGCCATGATGATACATTCTCTGACCTGACCTGCTGACTAAATTTCTATCACTCAAAGTTTATTTAAGATAAGATGTATTTCCACATCACTATTAAAATCCACATCCCCCTATGGAGATTTGGTTTAGGCTATTTTCAACTACTAATGTATTAAATTGAATTAGCATGTAATCTGTAATTTTTCAAACTCAAAGCACAGTCTTGAAGCAAAGAAAATGAGGCCATGAAATCTTAAAAACTAGGATTGGGGCAGATGGAGAATTGCCAGGGGAGATTAGAACCAACTGTGTCATAGTGTGAGCCATGGAGGAGCAGAGGGGAAGTGAGGTAGGAGGAGACCTGGGGAACATTTTAACATCACTGTTAGTCTTCCTTGGCCTGACCCAACTCCATACAGCTTGATCACAGGTTAATAAAAGAATATCAACTCTGTAGTTAAAGGTTGGAATAGTAATTGTCATCTAAAGTACTGTGTGTGAAGAAAGAGAAACACTATCTGTCTTCTCACATCAGTTTCTGGTTACAGCAACAAAAATAAATACTTTCACAATGAAAATATTGAAAGAATTTTTGAAATGTGTTAATCCTTATTAAATCAACATTGTAGAAAAAATGTCTCAAAACTTTAAAAAGATTGCTGGTGGGATATGTCATTTCCATTTTTGAAAATGACTTTTCAAATCAAATGAAAATAGTTGGAAGGATAATGTTGCTTAACAATAGATTTCCTGAAATAGAAGTTTCCTAAAATGTACATTATAAATAGCTATCTTAATAATGGAGTCCTATCTATCAAATGCTTTACTTCTATCACCTGTACCTCAGTAGAAATGTTTCAGCTGCATATACTGTATAATACTATATACTGTTATGCACACACACACACTAATGTTATAATACTATAGCATCAAGTAAGATCTACTTAATTTGATCTTATGGCTAAAAGAAAAATTGAGTTAGAGCCTATGTGCAATACTATTTATACATTAAAGAACCAAAATTCAACTCAGCTATTATACTTTATTTTATTAGAAAACAAACTCACTCAATACAAAATGTTTTTATTTTTTTATTTTAATTTATTTAAAAAATGGAATAGTAGGGAGTTTCCATATACCAGTTCCCCATTCCCAATAGTTGCCCCTATAATTAACAACTTGCATGAAGATGGTACATTTATTACAACTAATTAAGTGATATTGATATATTATTATAAACTAAAGTCAATAATACACCTTAGGCTGACTCTTTTTGTTGTATAGTTGTATGGGTTTTGACAAATGTGCAATGTCAGTACAGCATTACAGTATCATATAGCTTCACCACCCTAAAAATCCCCTAACCTTCATGTATTCATTCATTTCCCACCACCCCTATTTCATCCCAGGAAATCACTGGATTTTCTACTATTTCTCCAGTTTTATCTTTTCCAGAGTATCCTGTAGTTGGAACTCTATAGTATATAGATTTCTCACATTGATTTTTTTCACTTAGTAATATCCACTTAAGGTTTCTCTATGTCTTTTGAGTGCTCAATAGTTCATTTACTCTTCTTGCTGCATAATATTCCATTATATGGATCTACCACAGTTTGTTCATCCATTCACCTATTGAAGGAAAACTTGATTGCTTGGTGATTATGAACATATCTGCCATAAATGTGTATTTGCAGATTGTTTCTGGCCATAACTTTTCAACTTAATTGGGTAAATGGCTTGAAGAGTGATTGTTATAGTGTATGGTAAAACAATGTTTATCTTTGTAAGAGACTCCCAAACTGTCTTTCAAAGTGGCTCTGCAATTTTGCATTCCCATTGTCAATGAATGAAAGTTCCTATTGTTCCTATCCTCATAAGCATTTGGTGTGGCCATTTTTTTTTCATTTTAACAGGTGCCTAGTATTATAACTGTTCCAACTTGCAATTCCCCGATGTCACATAATACTGAACATATTGCATATGCTTGGTCTCCATCTTTTAGTTCCTCTTCAGAAGGTGTCTGCCTATTTTTAAAATTGATTTGTTTGTTTTCTTATCATTGAGTTTCCACTGCTTGTATATTTCAGACACAAGTCATTTTATCAGATTGTGTTTTGCATATATTTTCTGTATGTGGCTTGTTTTTACTTTCTCTTAACATTGTATTTTGCAGAGCAGAAATGATTAATATTACAACTTGTCAATCTTTCCTTTCATGGGTCATTTTATAGGTCTAAAAATTCATTGTTGAACCTAAGTTCACCTAGATTTTCTCCTATGTTGTCTCCTAGAAGTTTTTATAATTTTGCATTTTACATGTAGGTCTATGATCTGTTTTGAGTTAATTTTTTGCAAAAATGTATAATATGGTCTGGGCCTAGAGGTTTTGTTTTATTTCGTTTTGCATATGAATATCCAATTGTTCCAGAACCATTTGTTGAAAAGACTATCCTTTCCCCGTTGGCTTGATTTTGTACCTTTGTGAAAGATCAGTTGACTTTATGTGGGTCTATTTCTGGGTGCTCTGTTTTGTTCTATTGATCTGTTTGCCTGTTATTTGGCCAATATCACACCATCTTGACTATTGTACCTTTACAATGAGTCTGATGTCAAACAGTGTGCATCCTCAGACTTTCTTCTTCAGTATTGTTGTCACTATTCTATGTCTCCTGTCTTTCCATAAAAACTTTTGAATCAATTTATTGAGATACACAAAATAACTTTAACTCACTGCGATTTTGTCTTTATCTTAAAATATCAATAGTTCAGGCATCACTGGGCTCATATTGCCACAAAATAACTGCTATTACCTTTTTAGACAGAGCTTGTATATTCCAGATGACTTCAATCTCTGCCTGCCGCATTTCAATTATGTTTATTATCTTTGTAGCTTCATTGGAGGCATTAGTGTTTGTGACCTGATGATAGGTATAAAAATGTCAGCTATTGCCTGATAAATTTGGTTTTATTTTTTCATTCTCTATAAATGTATAACCCAATAAAGTCTAAGATTATGGAAGTTTCCAAAAAAAGCAAATAGAATTTTTAAATTTTTTTTAATGTTTGTTTATTTTTGAGACAGAGAGAGAGAGAGAGAAAAAAAAAAAAGCATGGGTAGGGGAGGGACAGAGAGAGAGGGAGACACAGAATCTGAAGCAGGCTCCAGGCTCTGAGCTGTCAGCACAAAGCCGGATGCGGGGCTCAAATCTACAAGCAGCGAGATCATGACCTGAGCCAAAGTTGGACACTTAACTGACTGAGCCACCCAGGCGCCTCAGCAAAGAGAAATTTTTTAATAGTAAATAGCTTCCTATGTTTCACAACATTGTGATGAATTAAATATGATCACCAATTTTTTTAGTTCCTTCAATCCAGAATGGAGGGTCTAGTTCCCTATAGTTTAATTCTGGCCTGGCCCTATGTTGTGCTTTGATCCATAGATTATGTCATACTATATGAACTCTGGAGCTAAGGCCTCAAGAGGTATTACAGTTTCTTCCATGACTCTTTCTGAGACTAGCGTCTTAGTCTAGCCACCTGAAGAAGACACATGACAGATAACTGAGTTAAGTTCCCCCAAGTCAAAAATGAGTACCAACTGACAGATGTTTGAGTTAGGCCAACTTGAATCTTCCACTTTTGCCAAATGTACACAAGGGAGCCAAAGTGAAACCAGCAGAGGAACTGCTGAGATATACCACAGGATTATACAGGAAAATAAATTGTTTCAAGTCACTAAATTTTAGACTGGCTTATTATGTAGCAACAGATATTTGCCTTATTTTTCTTCTCTAAAATTTGATTTTTTTTAAAAAAAGGGTGTCAAGAAAGTAGATTTACATTTTTAAATTAGGGAGGATAGGGGCACTGGGGTGGCTTAGTTGGTTAAGCATCTGACTTCAGCTCAGGTCATGATCTACGGTTCATGGGTTTGAGCCCCACATCGAGCTCCGTGTTGACAGTGCGGAGCCTGCTTGAGATTCTCTCTCTCCCTCTCTCTCTGTCCCTCCCTCACTCATGCTGTCTCTGTCTTTCTCAAAATAAATAAACTTAAATAAA